CCATTCCGCAATGTACGCACGTAACCTTCATCAATCTAAATAACTATACAGGCGTAATTAATTTCTATACAGGCGATTTTTGCCTGTAGGCCTAAACTTTGGGTATGTTTGTCAACCATACAGTAACGGTTTCTATCAAGTAGGCCTAGGCCTATACAAGACAGTCATCAGGCAGAGCCATTCATGCAAATGCCCAAATAAATCATACACAGTATAAAATTGAACAAAATAAGACGGGAGCAACTCTTAACATTATTTCATCAACTTTTGCAGTTTTCTTAATTGACGGGGGTGGTGTGTGTGTGTGTGTGTGTGTGTGTGTTTCTGGGATTAATCGCTATGGAAAGAAAATATAATCTGCTTAGGTTCCTGTCAGAAACCTTCGTACTCAAAACTACATCATGAATGTAACATGAAAATAACAAAACATCTAGTGAAATCATAAATTTCGGTCAGTTAATGCATTACATGTAGGCATAGTAGGCCTAATGTAAATTACCCAAGTATTGCGTAAAAACGATCTAGTAGAATAATAAATTGCTGAAGGGATTAATATGTGTACTGTCATTAAAAAAAGGACATTTCATGTACTGAGTAGTATACCAACCATTTTGATCAATAGTGTACCTGTAATGGATCTATCGGTATTTGGATATAAAAATACGTGGATCTATAGGTATGCGGATTTATAAGCACGTGGGTTAATGTGGACGTCGTACGAACGCAAATATATGGGACGGTGGTAAAAAATCGGATCTATCAGTATTTAAATCTAAAAAGACGTTTTTGTCGTTTTTCTTTTATGTATCTATCGGTAACGGGAGTATAGGGACGTGTAATAGGGGAGACCGGGGCTAGTTGGCCCCGTAAGACACTTTTGGCCTTGTAGAGCCAACTAGGAATGGGTTAGAGTAACAAAACCGGTTTCAGAGTAAGCCCTATGAACTAAGCTACGTATGCAACGCCATTATTTTTCAAACATAATGCCAGATGGCTCACGATTTGACAAAAAACGCAGTTGACGTCAGGAGNTGGGTAAGAGCTACAAAACCGGTTTCAAAGTAAGCCCTATGAACTAAGCTACGTATGCAACGCCATTATTTTTCAAACATAATGCCAGATGGCTCACGATTTGACAAAAAACGCAGTTGACGTCAGGGGGGCCAACTTGCCCCGCCACGGGGCAAGTTGGCCCCAGGGTCGGGGCAAGTTGGCCCCCCCTATACGAAAATGAAGTATATATCCCATGTAAACGCCTTGAAATAAATTTTTATAAATTTTTAATTTATTAAATTGATTTTTGAGAGTCTTCGATGAATAAATAGTTCAAATGAGGCAGATTTTTTTTTAGGTTTCCGTACGTCACGTTGTAGGGGGGGGGGTATGTGTTGCAAGAACCAAAATATCTATCAATAAAATTTGTTTTGTTTTAATTAAGAATAAATTAATAATGGTATAAAGCAGGTTTTTAACGAATGAAAACGACTAATAACTTTCGTATGAAAAGAAAGTAACAAATTCAGTTTTAAACCACTGAGTTTGTTTCAACAATGGTCTCTAGCTAGGGAGGGGTGGAAAATCCCCTTGGGGCCACATATAACACTGTAAATACAAATTGAATCCCCTTACAATGAATTAAGGCAAAATAAATGTTTTTCTAAAGAAAGTTTTGCTTTTTAATACATACAATCAACAGAACATTTCTAATATAAATTTTCAAAAAGACACCAGAGAGCAAATTAAATAAAATCAATCAGACGGTAATAGACACCGGCAAACTTTGTCAATTTCACCAACTTGTTTATTTCAAACAGCGTTGCGCGCAAAGGATTGTGGGTAATGTGAGGGTCCAACTAGCCCCGAGTCAAGGGGGCCAACTAGCCCCGGGTGCACATGATTTATTTTAAAGGATGTTAGCCATTTATGGTGCTAGAATGAGCAACGATGATACATCTCCGTGAAACTTGAAACAATGAGCTTCAGTTTGATGCCCTATACATATCTTATATTCGATCAAAAGCATGTGAAAATAGATTTTTAAATCTCTTAAACAAAATTACTTTTAGGTGCAAAAAAAGTTTATTTCGACTCACCGCTTAAGTAAAACTTTTTAATGTCCGACACTTCCTTAGCATTATAGGCTACGGTCATTTTACAAGAGTATGTGGCCAATTTTTTTACATCGTAGTTACTTTTTCATAAATTGACGGGGGGCCAACTTACCCCGGGGTCCAACTAGCCCCGGTCTCCCCTACTAAAAAAAGGCTGGATGCTATTACTCTGAAGTTCTAAATAATTGTAGGGCCTAGTGTGGAAAAATCTTCCACAATTATCAATTGTTCTGTCTGAAAAATTGCACTGAATAAAAAAAAATCTTTAAAAATTAATAATTGTACTGTGCTGAATAATAGCACTGCATAGAAAAGGTTTACAATTCCCATTTTTATTGTGAAAAAAAAAAGCCATAGCTCTGAAAAGAATTTTTTATTTTTCGAAATATTTGCATTCTTTTTTAAGCTGAAAATAATTAAGCAGTGATCTAAGGTGAGAGAAACCCGTCTTACATATATCTATATTTACATAAAATCTAGCAAGCAACTATATAACATTACTAAAATTAGTTGGCATATCTATTAATGAATTTAGACATTAAGTATTTGTGATTATTACACTGCTGCAGGGCTTGACACTATTCAGGTGAAATGTCCAGTCAGGCTTACTGCAGACAAATTTCACTTGCCCCCAGCTAATTTCCACTGCCCCCCTTCTCTAGAAAATAGATTTTTAGAAAATAGACTTTCCATGTGAACGTCCCCAAAATCCAGCAGATTTGGTTAGCAGAGGTGTCTCAGGCCCAGAACTTTGTGTATCTGAAACCTGGTTACATGGACCAGTTTTCCTCCGTGAAAATACACTGATGATTACTAGCCAGGGAACAGTGTCTGACACAAATGTAGAAGAAGGGGGGGGGGGGGTATTTCTGAAATGAAATCAAATCCAGTTTTACTAAAGTTTGAAACCCTTTCTAATGCTGGTTTTCAGTTTGAAAGATGGAATACATTTACAAAGACCCTCCGGATTGTGGGATGGGTTTTGAGATTTATAGGCAACTTGAAAGCCATTAATGAAGCTTGTTGTACTGGTGATTTGACCCTTAGGGAGCTTCAGGAAGCTAAAGTGCGCCTGATATCTGTTGTGCAGAGAGAGAATTTCAGTGAAGAAATAGCCTGTGTTCTTGAAAAACAGTCTGTGTCAAAGAAATCCCCTTTATTTAAACTGTCACCTTTCATTGATGGTGATGGTTTATTGAGGGTTAAAGGCAGATTACAGTTTTCTCATCTGTCATATGAGGCATGCAGGTGTGAACTCTTTATTGGTCAGATTGAGAGATGAATATTGGATTATTGGTGCAAGGCGCATGTGTAAACGTGTGAAACGAGAATGCATCACATGTCAACGGTTAGGCTTCGTTCACATGCNATGGTGGGAGCGTTTGATTGGATCTGTGAAATCATCTTTGAAAAAGATGGTCTTTGACTAGAAGTGAATTAGAAATCACCCTGTTTGAGATAGAAGCCTGTATCAATTCCAGGCCACTTACCTTTGTTGCAGACGATGTAGAGGACCGGGTTTCTTTAACCCCTTCACATTTTCTTGTAGGAAGACTGTTAACCAGTGGTCCTTTGAATGATTTGGAAGAAATTCCTGATATGAACAATGTAGACTTGGTTGCCATGTATGATCATAGAAAACAATTGTTGAACAAATTTTGGGAAAAATGGTCATCAGAATACATTCGTAACCTTCCATCTTGTCAAAGTAGTGTTTCAGGTGGGAAAGGGTTAAACATTGGATCAGTAGTTTCAGTGAGAGACCAAAATTCTCCACGTTTATTATGGCCGTTGCGAGTAGTGCAAAGGGTTTTCCAGGTATGGAGATGGTCTAGTCAGGTCAGTTGAGGTCAAAACTAGTAAAGGGTTAATTACCAGACCAATACAAAAGTTACATGACCTTGAAATTAGTAGTGGGGTAGGTTTAGAATCTTTGCCAGTAGAACCCGAGTTAGATGATGAAGGGGTTAACATTTCTACAGGAAAGCAACAATTTGACATTGATCATGCGCTTTCTCCCAACAACACAACTGAGACAGAAACTGGACTTATGAACTGTGAATATTATTATCATGAACTGGAATTGAGACAAAGGACTGGACATGGACTTGATAATTGGCACACTATTAACTGTATTGTATTGCTAGTAATAAAGTAAGATTTATTATTATTGTATTATTCATTGAAATATATGTAATATATTTCAAGGTGGGGAGAATGTCAAATATTGTTGTATGGTTGTGATCAATTGTGTTAAATTGTGTTAGAGGTGACTATGCAGTGGGTCCCTTAAGTGGCCAAAAAGGAAGAAGTGAGTAGTTTTTCCATGTTGGAGAGAGTGTGGACTCCATGTGGGGTGAAGTTGTGACATGTTTGTTGGTCACACGTGGTTTGAATGTAATGTAAAACCGTAAAAAAAAAAAAAAATTGAACCAGCGCAAGTTTTATTTACTTTTAACTTCAACAGTATGTATTAAAAGGTAAAGCCACCAGACTTTCCTTAGAATAACATTTACTGCCTTCAGTTGTATTAAAAGGTAAAGCCGTTAGACTTTCTCTAGAATAGCATTTATTTTGCCTTCATTATTAGGGGATTCCCACTGAATTTTTAGTGTTATGTATGGCCTCAAGGGGAATTTCTGCCCCTCTCCACCTTGATAAATAATATGCTCCATTTGGGAGATTGAAAATGATATTGCAAACTGCATTGAAAATCATAGGAAGATTGATTACAGGTAATGCTGTGAGGATGTTTTTATGTGTGGACGAAAATGGCCAATAAAAATTTTTAATTCTGTTTCCGTATTTAGAGCGCCAGTTCTAATTTTTCTTGAGGCAATGGTACCTAACACTACGATACAATTTTTAAATGAAGATCATAGCTTGACATACATGCATCAAACATTCTTGTTTATTATAAATTGGAATCTTCAATTGAAATAAAAATAAAATATACAATATAATAAGTTCTTATGTGAGGCTTATTTATAAACATACTAATAATTGACATTTTGTAGAATTTGGAGGCTAAAAACTCCATAGTTGTCTGGTTCTCATATTGAGGCAGGATTTTTTGTTCCTGTGCTTACGTAATTCTCATAATTTATTACCACCACTCTCAAAGTAGCTTTTCATAATTGGTTGACAGACAATAAGGCAATTTTCATATCTTCGGCGGGAGATGGTTTGTGGTCCTAGCGAGACGAGAAACCAATTTTCATATTTATTCAAGGGACTTCATTTGCAGAAGATAGTCAGGGGGAGATAGTTCACGGTCCAAGGAAGATGAGAAACCAATTTTGATATTTATTAAAGGGACATTGTTCACAGAAGATTGTCAGAGAGTGATCATTACAGATTATTTTTACCTCTCCCCCCCCCCCTTAAATTTTTTTATATACATCTTTTCCATTTTACTCTCTTATTTATTTATTTTTGTAAAATAAATTGTTTTCATAAATTATGTACAACTATAAAATGTTTGTTGTATGGATTAATAGCAGTTGCCTTTCCTGATGACCAAAATGTCCTTGAAAAGTGCTTGAATTTGAGTCCTGAAAGTCCTTGAAAGTCCCTGAATTTAACAAGTATTTTTCTGTATGAACTGTGTATTATAAATGTTTTTGAAATAAGATAACTGATTTGTGCCCCATCTTCCAGGACATCTCCTAAGCTCTTCAACTCTCCTCTCCAAATGATCAATTTTCCTATGGATCAACTCATACTTTTACGTTTACTTGAATCCCTTAACCTGGGAAAAAGAAAGTGTCATGGTAAGGCATGAAAATTATATTTAATTATTAAAAACAACAGGGATTATATGTAAAACTGATATGAAAGTACCAATGGTATATGTATGAGATTGGTTGCTACATAACACCCCTAGGCTACATTCCCCATAGACAACATCTGTCTTTAAGACTGGGTTCCCACAGATTTAGATCGATCCATCTGGATCGACCTAACTCCCTGGGGGTTCATGCTAAATTGCTGTCAGCTTCCCAGAGCCCAATTAACAAAAGTTAACAACGTACCCCCTTACAGCTTTTAGTAGATGGGACAGACATTTAAGCCGGTCAGGTTAACAGCAATCTAGTGAGACTCCCCAGGAGATCTTATATCTATGGGAATGGTCTCTAAGGATCAGCCCAACTTTGCTGGGACTCTCACTCTAAATGCAGACCAATGGTGTTCATGGGAATGGGGTCTTACTTTCAGTTTATTACAAATTTATCTATAATATCAACATGCTGAACTAAAAGTGACATGTTATTAGTGTCATAGGGGCCATTCAGAATAGATGATTCGAGTACTAACTGACCTGCTGACTAAATATGGCCGACCCCACATCAAAAGCGATGCTGTTGATTCCTGATGGTCTCCCCGCCTCCACAAGTGCCATTAAATGGATTAAATCTCGGCTCCAAGGTTTAATTGCTCGGCCCCTGCAGCAATGGCACATGTGGAGGTGGGGAGACCATCATGGAATTAGCAGCACTGCTTTTGAAGTATGGTCCCCATATTAAGTTGGCACCCGTAGATTCACCCTTCAAGAAATCGTGACTTTCAAGATATTATGGAAAACCAGAAGTATGTTTTTTTGTTGTTGTTGTTTTCCCGGCATGCCTAGTACAAACACGCTGCATTCTCAAGTAAAATTAAACATCTGATAAAAGATTCAAACAGCATTTACATGCTTGTTTACCATATATAAGTTTGGGGTAGACCTATGGAACACTTTATTTAAGTTAACCCTGATAATTCAAGGCCAGGAATGTACAATTTTTGTCTAATTATGCACTGTAGCTTCTACAGTCTGTATGCTTATTTTATTTTAATAAAACATTTTAAACATGTTAAAACATATGAGTTAGCTACTAATTATTTCTCACTGGAAAATCACCCAGCAGTTTTCCAAATACAACTGAATGATGTCATAATGCGCCTTCGTTTTCATCAAGATCTAGAAAGCGTCAGCGTTATGGTTTGCACCAAATTTGAAGAATTCTATTTTACTATTTATACAACAATTTGAATTGAAATTTGGTTTATCAATTCTTTATATAATATTGCTGCTATGTGCATCACAGTCTTTCTACAACACCTGTTCAATTTTGAAAATAAGTTTCATAATTTTCTTGAAGGGTGCATCTACAGGGTTCTGGATAACATTTTAAAGAGTAAGTTTGGTCAAGCATTTTTGAGTTTGTTACACATACCAACTATATAAACACTTCGAACCATTGACAATTGCTAAATAATGATATTGTGATACATGTTTGTTTAAATCAAATATAAAGCAATAAAATTACCGGAACTTCATTGCACCTGTTAGTTGCAGTTTTGACTTCATTCCCAGAATGCAAAGATGTGTGACGTAACCTGTAGTCGCTATACAGACTACATGGAGCCCAAGGTTCAATATTTGTTTTATGGGCCTATTCCCCCTCAAAAAAATTGCCAATTAACACGTACATTTTATCATGGTGAATTGCATTGTGGGATCCTCCAATCTTCAATCCTCCAAGAAACAGACTTCATGGGTTTCTCTTTACCCTCGTTAAAATGCAACCTCGTTGTTGAAGTGTTATCATGCATTTTTATAACAAAGGATTGGCTAAATAAAGTGTTAAACTATCTATCATATGAGCCAAAGTCTTTGTTTGACCAAACTTGCTCTTTAAAAATACATGTATGTTGTGCATGTTTATCAGCAAGGAGGATATTATGACGTACGACAGGACTGATTATAATGATCTGATATTTTGATGGTGGGACCATTTGTGAGGTTAAATTTTGAAGACCAACCTTGAGTAAGAAAGCATCTGCAGCTGTGATAATGAACTCCTCACAGGGCATTATAGATTTCCCAGTTGAAGAATTTGCCAAGGCCTACAATTTGCAATATTTTATACATTTATCATTTGATTCACATATTAACTATGCAATTAAAATCCTCATAAGAAACAAGGCAGCAAAGCTGTAAAATGTACAGACAACTAGAAAGAAGAATAATCTTATCAAGCTGGTTTGCCAATTTGCACAGTATGTTAATCATTTTTTTATAAGTTACAAAATAATAACTAATGCAGTTTCTTTTCAGAGCATTTGCAGTGGCAGTACACTAACTATTTTAATCAATTTTGATGCAATGATGCATAATGTTTAACAGCTAATAATCAATTTCAATTTTAAATTATGCATTGCAAGTAACATAGATATTTAGAAACTGTGACTGGCAAAGGTCTTCAGGCCCATGGATAATTCACCTTAAAAATGCCAATATGTACACAAGTACTGAAATGTGTTATTTTCACTTTCAACACTTATTACATAATACACAAATACCAAATTACTTTCATTTTAAAATGATTATCTAAAAGATTGTGAAGATGGGAAAAATGTCAACAGAACAATTTTAAATGTCTTATTTGCACCATTCTGAGATTAAGAACAGTGAGGGATTGAATCTGCAATGGTATGCCTTTATTTTTTTTTTTTGGCACTTTATTACACAATACAAGATAAAAGATTACCATCATTTTTAAAAAAGCAGTTTAAATAATTGCTAAGATGCAGAAAAATGTGAATATAAAGAACTTTTACAAATATAAAAAGTTCAATACTGAGACTGCTAACATGCCTAAGAATTGAGGAAAACCTATTTATATACAAAAACAGCTTAACCTAAACAAAAATTAACTAATCAAGCTAATTTTCAAACATGATCTATATATATCAGACCTTTGAATTCAATCAGTCCTGCAAGTTTAAAAGCAAAATATGACATGGTTTTTGTTTTATTTGTATAAAGTTAGGAAAAAAAAAAAAAAAAACAGCTTTTGGAAAAATAGTCCCATCAGGCTGATATTTGAACTTGGTCTTTAGTTAATGAGTACTTATCAGTTCTGAAAGATTGAAGACAAAAGGTAAAAACATTTTCATTTTATTAGAATAACGCTGAATGTGCATGGCGACAACGGTAAACGACAACGACAGACACAGGCGAGGGATATATGCACAGACACATCTGTGTCTGTACATTAGGAAACTACAAAGGACTATGGATAAGACGGACTGGGTTAGATTGTGCTGGAGGTTGCAACATCGGGTTGTGTAGGAAGTAAAGCTGGCTTAGCCAATTTTAGCAGAAAGTAATTTGAGCTGAGACTCAGGTGTGAAGTAGAAGTGGATTTTCCAGCAGCATGAAAGGCTTTCCCTAACCAACCATCCACCCATCATTTTGATGGGTTGTGAACTGAGATGACAGCCTATATTTCCAAAGACAGTCATAACGCTTACAATTTTTTGGAAAATGATGGTTTTGTTTGTCGGGACAGCCTTGGTGGCTTAGCAAATTAGCAGAAAGTAATTTGATATACCCAGTCGAAGAACACCACATTGTAGCACAACCTAAAGCTTATACAACACAATAAAATTAGAAAATAAGTTTATCTGGATGTGTTATGTATTATATAGTCTTCAGAGATTATTTTTTTCATCCTAAAGAGAACAAGGCAAAAGATGTTAAGATACCTTCCAGACTTTCAAACAGCACAAGTCTCTTCAAGAGCAGCATTTATTTAGTAGATTACAGGCTGAGACAGAAACACCCAACTACTGAATAATAATTTGACATAAAACTCTACATGCTCTAGCAGTACAGACTGCTACCAAAATAAAAACTACACAAGAAACATGTAAGTCAGCAACTGAAAATTATTCTTTATTCTATTTTTTATATTTTTATTCTTTTTACCCCATCCCCTGCTCACAGCACTTTTTGAAAAGAAGTTGGACTACCTTAAATTATGGATATGAATTTAAGAAATAATGGATAAGAATTTCTGTCTACTACTCTGAAGTGGAAAACTGATCCAAGGACACCAAAAATGATGAGCAGAGGTCAACACTCGATCAGCAATGAAAATAACAAAGAAAAGTACACCATACAGAATACAGAGATTGAGAAAAAAGAGAAATCAAAAATAGCTAAAAAAGAGGGGAACTGGGCTGTTCCTTTGTGCAAGTAAGTCACCTGCATCAATGTAAAACAGTTCTTGAAAAAGTAATTTCCAGACTGATTTATCATTCCAAGACTGTGAAAATTTGGCTGATGTTTTCTGTTTACTTCCACAGTAGAACTGTAAATATTACAAGCAGTGTCATGAATTTACTAAAGAAATAAAAAAGGAGGGCTTACAATTGGACCAGAACCTGTAGACAATATTAAGTTTGGAAAACATTATTTAAAAAAGAAAAACAAAGATCAACATTTTGGAGAAACAATTCGAAAAGAATTATTGTGCACTGAACTGCCTGTCGAAAGAACTGAACAGACTTAGTGATGTCAAAATACAACAAGGCATCTTTCTCATGAATCCTACTTTGACATTTTTGAAAGACTTCACAGTTGATAGAAGATGTATAGCAGTTACGTAGCATTATTTATTTTTATGGTTGAAAATTATTTATAGTTAACTCTTTGAAATTTATTATTACTGAATTATTTTAATCATATTATAAATTTTCTGTTTAGACCTCCTAGAATATAATATTTATTATAGAATATAATTCAATTAGAAGTCATCTTGGTATGATTAAAAAGATAAGAATACCCTGGTGTCTGTTTCTGTCATCTTTTGTACACACGCTTAGATAAAATTAAAATTTGTAAGATAAGAATAGTAGATAAGATTATCCTGATCTTTGTTTAATATCCTGGCCTTAGTGTTACATAGCATAATCAGGACAAAACCAGTCTGACCGGTGGCTGCATGATTTTAATCAGTAGTGAATATTTATGTGATGAAAGTCAATGCAAGCCTGTGTGTAACTCTGGTGTGAGGCACTAGAAGCTTTATCTCCTGGAGTCCACACAGACCACTTTGTACATTTAAATTGGTTGGAATAATNGTGTTTACAGTGTTGCATATATGCTGAACAATGAAAAAACCGCATAACTACTAAAATAGTGGCCCGATCATGCTGATTTTCGAACTTGACCTGCGTTTTAGTAAGATTGATTACTCCTGTGAGTTACATGACAACAGGCCTATCGGTTTTCCTTAAAATGTGTTTACAAGGTTGCATATATACTGAAAAGTGAAAAAACAGCATAAATTCTACAATAATGGCCCGATCATGCTGAATTTCGAACTTGACCTGCGTTTTATGAATATTCATCAGCTCTGTAAATATAAAGCCAAAAAGTAAAACTGCCTTCCACTTATCGTGTTTACAAGGAAAGTGCACGGCGACGGCATCGGCATCGCCATCGGCATCGGCGACGGCGACGACAGACGCAGGTGATGGCAATATGTACAGACACATCTGTGTCTGTACATAAAAACTGTTGAGAAAAATCAAAGAGGATTTGGCTGGTGAATTAGACCACATTTCAAAACCTTCAAAGTATTAACAGGTGCAAGCAGTTTTACATGATAGTACAGTAACAATAATAAAAGAGATATAGGGCTTGCTCTTCGATGGTGTAGATATGTCATTAAGAATGTAATATAACACCATAAAATGATAAGAAATGAGCATAAATAATTCTTGAAGAACTCGAATATGACTGACAACTACCTACCATTGCCAAAATCCAGTCTAATCTTATTGCCATTGAAACATTTTGCTGAATAGTGCTTTGACTAAGGGGCCATTCAGAATAGAAGATCCAAGTATCAACTGGTCCAAGGATCAAATATGGCAAACCCTACATGAAAGGAAGACTGTTTAATCCTGAAATGGTCCCTTCCCCTCTCACAAGCCTTCCCACACATGGTACTTGCAGGGACACAGTAATTAAATCTCAGCTCCATTCGACCAGACATCCTACACCATACAACATCACAAATTCCACCACAATCTTAGCCAATTCATCTCATTACCTTTTTAAGGTGGGACTGTACTCAAATAGGGCAAAAAATCACATTTTTATAAATAAAATCAACAATATGTCTTAAAGAAAAACCCTCGAACCCCTTTTTTGGTACTTTGTTCAAGTGTTATAATACCATTAAAAGCATTTTTATAGCTGTCCAAGTGCCAGAGAAAATCAGGAAACTGAAAATGATGTTTTTGCTCCAAAAATCCCAATTTTACATCACTCAATGAACTGGGAGCTTGTCAGAGGTACTAACAAACTGACTTAACACTGGCATTCCTACATTAATTCAACTATTCTCCCAAGAGAAGGATTTAAACACAAGGAGAAAAACTCAAAAGTTAAATATTTGTGGTAAGATGGTATTACCTTATTCAGTGCCATGTACAGACGGTCAGGTGCCAATGAGTAGCCAGCATCCATCACACTAACAAATACATAAGTAAATAAAATGGCAATAAAATGAGCGAGTGTACTCATTCAAAATTAAGATTTCAACTTACTCAAATCTATCAAGTAAAAGATGACAAAATTTGAGTTAATAAAAATAACACTGAAATTTTAGCATTTGTATTTCTATCATAAAACATTGCATAGCTTTGTTACGGTACCATCTTGAATTTCATTAATTTTTAATGAAGACAGTCACTGGAACAAAGCAAGATCTTACCACTTTGGGTCACTCTCTGAGCTGGACACAGCTATAAGAATCTGGTGTAGTACAGCATCACAGAGCACTTTGTCAGCTTCTCCATTGTGCTTCAGATCTATGGACCAGTACAGGGATTCTGCCTCCTGAAGGAAGTCTGAAATACAAACAATTACAGTTTCTCCCTTGGTTGAAGATCGCTTGTGTTCTTTTTTGTGAGACATTGTGCCCAGGATTCAATGCATGCTTGGATCACAAGGCCAATTAAAATGTCACAAAAAGAGTTACTATAATTCAGGTATAGCCGTTATTGATCCATGTTATTAGAATATGATCTTGAATAGCTAAGACTGCATTCCCACAGATTTTTGATCGATCTATCCCCGTGGGGAGTCTCACTAGATTGCTGTCAATTTAGCCGGCTTAAATGTCTGTCCTGCCTACTAAAAGCTGTAAGGGGGTAATTAACTTTCGTGCGCGCTCGACTGACAACAATTTAGCGTGAACCCCCAGGGAGTTAGGTCGATCAAGATGGGTCGATCTAAATCTGTGGGAACCCAGTCTAAAATTTTAGTAATATTCTCAACATTTGAGTAATCATATATATATATATATATATATATATATATATATATATATATGATTACTCAAATGTTGAGAATATATAAAACCAAAAGTGAGTCAGTTATTTCGGTACAGAAAATATATTTTAAAAGTCAAAACAAGTCATATAATATAGTTGAAATGGTTAATTATTCATGGTAAACATTTTTGCCTCTTTCAGGCTCTACAGATAATAAAATGATTGTTTATTTATTGTTACTAGGCAACTGTATAGTCTATTGTCTTATCTTAGAGACAGTGACATTTTTTTTTTTTTTTTTTTTTTTTTGCATAAACAATGATAGACATTCCAATAATTGATTTTCAATTGCTGTTCATTAATTTCATTAAGTTAAATTGTCATGATTATTTTTCATTTAACTTGGGCTTAAATATATCTTTAAAATACCTTTCCCTTGCCCTGCGTTCAATTTCATCATTCCAATTTACTTTAAAGAATGTGAAGACCCTAAATTTTCCACGCCCACATTTTTCAAAGTGTTCTGAGCATGGGGTGTTTTGCACACTCTGGTCTTTCACCTGCTGTTTATGAACTTGAATTTAGCAGATGTATAACCAACTAATTTCGTGTGGTTATGGACCTTTATTAATATAAGCTGAGCAAATACATGGTGTCTACAGAATCGTGGCTGGAGCTCAACTGAACTCCAGTGCCACTTCTGAGGTGAGGGGTGGTCCCCCTCACTCTCATTGGTCAATTCAGTATAATTTTATGCTTCTATTTGAACATTTTATCTCCAGACGGGATAACTTAATTATTCGAAGTATAACAATATCTAATATGCATGATTAGAATTAAAAGATTACAATTTGAAATATTGAAACGTTCAGCATCCTGCCTTCATTGTCATAATCTTCAGACGGGATCAGTTAATTGTCCCAAGCTAACAAAATTCTTCTGCAGCCATGCAATTTTACTTATCTAAATACGAATATTTAATTTCTTCTTTCAAAAACTATTGAGGTTTGTAAAATGTAAAATCATCTCTGTTATAGATGGACCTCTAATTTTGCAATTAAGTACATATTCTTTATAATTTAATTTAAATGTCAAATTATGAACACATGCATTTTTATATCAATCTTACTACTTATCTAAAATGTACATTGTGTTTGGTGCAACATAAGGTCACACATGTTGTGTTAAATGTACTCACCTTTTAATACAAAACATGTGAAGATTGCAGACCTGAAGACATCATGTGTAACCACCTCCCAGTCCCTGCATGCTAATTTCTTCATTACCTTTTCTTTCACTGCTTCAGGAAAGTCCCTGAACAAGGAAAGACAGAAAAAAATACAGTAAAATAGTAAGAAAAAAAAGGTTTGTCAGGTATGGGAAATATCAGATTTTGAAAAGCCGCTTTTCAAATTGATAGTCCAGCAATATGGTAAGGAAAAAAGGGTGAATTGTGTATTTTTGCCAACAAGCATGAAATTTGGCACAAATGTAACAAGGGGATCAGAGAGACAGCTACGCCTCTAGGTATCATCAGCTGGAGTTAGTGCATTCGTATAGAAAATAAAAAGGGACACCACCTCCAGTGTTGTGATTGACAAGTTCTACAAAATGCAATAAACAAAGGCTCATTTTTCATAGAAAATTATTCTTTATAACAAAATTGTATGGAAAAGTAAAAGGTGAAATCAAAGGTTACAGTAAGATTGTGAATATAAGACCTTCCTTTTCAAGTTCAATACAGCTTGAAAATTTGCAAAGTGTGGTTCATGGAGAAAAAAATAAGGTTAAGGTAAAATTCAAGGTCACAGTAAAACTGCCAAAATATGACTTAGGTAAAGTCACCACCAAGTTTTAATTATGAACATCAGGTAATAGTTAAATATAGTAAGTAAAATCTATCACTAGCATAAGGTTCCAGGCCCTTGAGAGTTCAAGTTCACACTATGAAATTTCCAGAATGAGAAAAAGGAAAATTTCACAAAAAAATTGCATAAATTCAAGAAAAAATGATAATCCAAGCAAGCTGGTTCAATTTGAATTGTATTTCAATCCTAAGAATCATTCTTGTATGTTACGAAATAATAAGTAGCACAGTTTTCTTTTCATAAGTTTTTTTTTGTGCAATTTTGACGCAATGTTACATAACGATCAACAGCATGATCATCACCAATTTTTTACCTACTAAACATTACGTGGAGATTAACATTTGTTAATCTGATTTAAATGCATCACTCAACGCCAGCTGCCTAGTAAGTCACGTGAGACCCGGAAGCGCCACCTGCGGCAGCGCCCCCTGCATTCAGCTGCGCGCGCATGTTAGACCGTCAGATTCAATTTCGGCATCTTGAACAGTGCAGCGCTGCACGCTTTCCGCTTATGGCTTTTTAATTTTTGCTTCTGGCTTATACTAGTTTTTAGTTATGGATAGCTGTACAGAATTAGAGGAGTGGGCCAAGAAGGCCGAGCTGAATGATGAGACACTTACTCTCCTGCGAGAGAATGGTTTCGAAAGCATGAAAGCCATTAAAATGCTCAACAGTGCCAATACCAGCAAATTCTTTGGAAAATCCCTCTCCCTCGGGCAGCTGCTACTGCTACAGGGAGCCATTGATGAATTGAAAGAGTCAGCGGAGCCATCTCCAGTCAAAGAGCCTGCACAGACCCAACCCCAGTCCATATCATCGGGAACGCAGGATCAACAAGCTTCACAACAGCCTCTGCTCTGCACAAATCTGCTCTCCATTTTAGCCAAAAAATACTCCTAAGCCAGAACAAGAGGGTAAGTCTTCATACGTTTTCGACCCTTTTGACATAGCCGCAAGCAACAACAGTAAGTGTGGAGACATTCGTGACTATACAAAATGTATCACCCAGTTTCAACAAACTAAGTCAGCGGTGAAATTAGGCGACTTTGAACTCTCTCTTCCCGAGACCAAACCAAAACTAGAAGCTGTAACGCCCCTGCAGTATATGGAGGCAAGTCTTAAGATCATGAGAGAACTAGTGACCGACGAAGGATATACGCAGCAACAAATTATGGACTACACCAGCTACCTCATAAAGATAGCGCATATGGGCCAACGTTTTCAATGGAAATCTGTCCTAAAGTACGACCAAGAGTACCGTAAAGCCAAAGCAGCGGCCGACTTTCAATGGGGAGCTGATAATGCTTATATGATGCAGGTGTTCCTGCGAGAGGACAGCACGTCTATCAGATTCGCACAGCCCAGACCACAGGAGGGAGGAGCGCGCAATAAGTTCGACCCTTCATCAGGTCGCATTGTCTGTGATCGTTTTAACGGTAAAAACGGGTGTTCCCTTTGTCACTGCAAATATTCGCAGGTATGCAAAACGTGCTACGCCCGCAACCACGGCGAATTCAACCACAAAACGGGCCAACCTACCCTGGATTCAAAAAACGATTAAACAAGAGTGTCGGAACCACGCGCCAACTCCCCCCACTCTTAAACAGCTTAGACATATGGCGCACTGAGCTTGTCGGAGACGAAGACAGAGACTTCATCTTAAACGGCATAGTGAACGGATTCTCTCTAATTGATAATGATATTAAAGTTACTGACATTGCACCAGTAGAAGTAGATAATAGCAATAGAGTGAATAGGCCCGATATCCTTCCCCATGTAGAAAAGCAATTATTGGACGGACTTAAAGAAGGACATTACATAACTTCCTCAGAGAAACCCCTAATTACTAGTGCTATTACATGCGTGCCAAAGCCTGATGGTGAAATTCGTGTAATTCACGATCTCAGTCGGCCTGAGAATAGTGGAGTAAACTCTCATGCTTCAAAGGAGGCTATGAAGTACCAATCCATCCAAGACGCTTTGTCCCGTATACGGCCTGGCTCGTTTATGGCAAAAGTTGACCTCAAGAGTGCCTACAGATCGGTCCACATCAAGCGAGAGCAGAGATCTCTGACAGGACTTATATGGCAGTTTGTAGGGGACACGCACCCCATTTACCTATCCGACACACGTCTACCTTTTGGGAGCAGAAAATCGCCTTTTATCTTCAACAGAATTACACAGGCGGTTCAGCGGATGATGATTAAAAAAGGATTCTCTGGAACTGTAGCGTATCTGGATGATTTTTTCGTGACCAGGCATACTTTCCAAGACTGTCTTAGAGCATACAACACCCTTATCGGGCTCCTGCGGAAGCTAGGATATAGCATTAATTGGAAAAAGGTCGCGGACCCGTCCCAAAGTATATGTTTTCTCAGCATTGTTATTAACACTAATACCGGAAGACAAGATTACATCATTACAGGAAGCAGTTAAGTCTTTCCTAACAAAGACTAGAGCCTCTAAACGCCAGCTGGAGTCTCTTGCCGGGAAGTTATCTTGGGCTGCACAAGTAACCCCATGGGGAAGAGCGCACAATAGGTCAATTTTCAACCTTTTTGTCTTCTCTGAGCTCTCCACAAAGCAAGACTCGTCTGCAATCAATTAAACCAGACCTGCGTTGGTGGGACTTCTGGCTGAGAGAAGGATCAAACACAAAGAGAATCTGGCCCCCTCGAGTGATGTTATAGTTCACACAGACGCTAGCTTGCGCGCAGGTGGAGCTTTCTGCCTGGGAGACTGGACATACACTCACTGGGATTCAGACGTACCGGATATGTTACACCATCACATAAACGTAAAAGAGCTGGCCGCTGTCATTGTGGCAGCTAGAAGGTGGCGCAACGTCTGGTCAGGTCGCAATGTAATAGTTCACACGGACAATACTGTTACTGTAGCTAACCTGAACAACGGCACAGCAACCAACAAGGCATCCTTATGTTTACTAAAAGAACTGGCGCACCTCGCCACAAAGTACGACTTCGTCATCTCTGCTGTCCACGTACCCGGCGAGCAAAACATTGTAGCGGACACGATATCTAGAATCCACGAACCTTACATGCTAGATAAACTGTTCTCTGTGTTAAACTTGTACAACAGTAACGTGGACTGGCCTAGCCACATGTCTTTCACAGCCTTTCGCTTTTTGTATTCGCAGGTTATCGCCAGAAACCCGCTGAGTTACAGCAATTAGACCAGGAGGTCGCTAAATGGAGGGCGCTCACATTCAGTGCAAACACCAACTTTTCTAAGCCCGCGTTGTGTGTTTGTGTTTAAACCAACATTTAGAAAATTTGAATACCGTTTGGTTTCATGCCTGTGGAAGTTCTAAGACCCACATTGAAAATGCCAATACGTGAAAAATGATCATGTCATAAAGAACTGTATTGCTTCTAAAAGATAATGCAATCAGACTGGTTTTCTATCTCAAGCAGCATTTCAGACCTATGAATAATTTCAGAAAGTTTGAAATTCATAAGTAACGTGTTTTTTCTTTAATGGTCACAATGGTGGAGTGCCGAAAACAGTTTTTTTTAAACTTTGATGCAGCATTACATAATAACTGCATAACCACAACCAATCTTTAATTATACACTACAGGTAACATGGATATTTAGCAATTGTGACTAGCATTTGTACATCTGTGTCTGTACCTAAAACGCAATATTTCTTACAAATGAATTTGTAAATTATGTTTGAACTGTTTGACACAATACCATAACATTAATTTACATTGGTTGGATGTCAAAATGAGGCTTCCATCAGAATCAAAAAATGAGCTCAATAGTTTTGCATCCATCCAGCTTTTGGGTCAGCGATGGTGACGAAGTGTTTCGCTTTGCATGCAAATGAATAAAGGCAGTTTGGAGAAAAGATCTTAACAGTTCACTGAATGGTAAATTTGTTACCCAGTGTTTGTTTATGCAACACATTTACATGCAACCTTATTGGACATGGCTCCCTGCAAGTTAGTTTAAACCAGTATTAAATAAGCCAACATGTTGTAAGGAATAATATCTATTGCATTTCTTTTTGTAAATTGAGAAATTTTGTTTTCTTAATAGTGTAGACATAATAAATATTCAAATCGTTCCTTTTCAATTAGACAAGGTAGACTATAAAATAGTATCATATTATACCTGCAAATGACTTGTAATAACTCTGTGAACACCAGTCCATTCACTCCTAATGTGCTTCTGTTGGCTAGTCATAAAATATCAAAGCATGCAAAAAGTATATAACACGCACATGTCAAATGACAGTTTTTAATATACAGTTCCACATTGTCCATGCTTTGCAGCTAAGAACTTATATAAGGCAGCAAAGCTGTCAAATGTACAGACAAAAAAGTAGAAAATAATGCACAAAATGGGCTACCGTCAATTTTGATGAAATAATACATTATGCTTACAGAAAAGGAAACACCAAAATTTAATTATGCACAACAGGTAAAATGGTTGTAAGTAAAATGTGAAACTAGAATAAGGCTTCAGGTCCATGAGAGTTCAAGTTCACTCTTTGAAAATTTCATAAAAAATTGCATAAATTCGAAAAAAAAAATGATAATCCAAGCAAGCTGGTTTTCCAATTTGAGTTGTATTTTAATCCTAAGAAATTTATGTATGTTGCAAAATAATAAGTAACACAGTTTTCATTTCATAACATTTGCGATATCAGTGCACAAAACTGTTTTTTGTCAATTTGGAAAAATGCAATACAAAATGCAAACAAGAATTCTAATTTTTTCTAGAAAATTATTATTTTAAACAAATTCGTGAGGAAAAATAAAAAGTCAAATCCAAGGTTGCAGTAATATTGTGAACATTAGACTTCTCATCCAAAATCAATAGTAACTAGAGGATCAGAGAGGCAATACCGCCTCCAGGTATTGTACCAGGAGCACTCATATGGAAAAAAAAAAAAAAAAAAAGGGAAACCTCCTCCAGTGTTGTGTTTGACTAGCTCTACGAAATGTAGTAAACAAGAGCTCTCTATATTTTTGTTGAAAATTACCATTTAAAACAGAATAATGGGGAAAAATAAAAGTGTAAATCCAAATTTGTGAAGTGCCGTTTATGGTGAAAAGTAGGTCAAAGGTCAATTTGAAGGTCACAGATTGCAAGTACATGACTTCCTATTGAAGTTCAGTACTAACTTTGGGCATATATCTGTCAGTTTTGGGGATGTTAGGGACAAAAAAGTTGCAAAGTTCAGTTCATACTGAAAAGTAGGTCAAAGGTCAATTTTAAGGTCACACTTAAATTGTCAGAGATTGACTTCCTATTCAAATTCGATATTAACTATGGGCAAATCTCTGCCTGTTTTGGAGATATAAGGGAGAGAAACCTTGCAAAGTTCAGTTCATACTGAAAAGAAGGTCAAAGGTCAATTTCAAGGGCACATTTAGATTGCCAATATATATCTTCCTATTCAAGTACATAAGTAACTATGGGCCTATCTCTGCCAGTTTTGGAGATATAAATGACTAAAATATTGCAAAGTTCAATTCATGGTGAAAAGTAGGTCAATGGTCAATTTTAAGGTCAGAGTTAGATTGCCGGTATCTGACTTTCTTTTTTTAGGTCAATGGTAACTATGGGTGTATTTCTGTCAGTTTTAGAGATATAACGGATAGAAAACTTGCAAAGTTCAGTTCATCATAAAAAGAATGTCAAAGGTCAATTTCAAGGTCATGGTTAGATTGCCAGCATATTACTTCCTATTCAAGTTCAATAGTAACTATGGGCAATTTCTATGCCAGTTTTGGAGATACAAGGGCTGGAAAACTTGCAAAGTTCAGTTCATGGTGAAAAGTAGGTCAAAGGCCAATTTTAAGGTCACAGTTAGATTGCAAGTATATGACTTTCTTTTTAAGTTCAATAGTAACTATGGGTGTATTTCTGTCAGTTTTAGAGATATAACAGATAGAAAACTTGCAAAGTTCAGTTCATCATAAAAAGAATGTCAAAGGTCAATTTCAAGGTCATGGTTAGATTGCCAGCATATTACTTCCTATTCAGGTTCAATAGTAACTATGGGCATTTCTTTGCCAGTTTTGGAGATATAATGGATAGAAAATTTGCAAAGTTTAGTTCATTGTGAAAGTAGGGCAAAGGTCAATTTCAAGGTCAGAGATAAATTGCCAGTATATATGACTTCCTATTTAAATTAGATAGTTGTCTGATTAACTGTGTTCTCATGATATTTGTGTGTAATCTTAAAGGTAACTCCACTTCACTAAAAACACAAACTAGAGCTAATAATCAGGTATGCATCGCATTGCACAATAACTGGAGACAATACTGCAGTTTAACAACCCAAAATTAACCGACATTACAGCACACTGCATTTCACTCGCACCTAGCTATTTTAGATAAGGCCTGTAATACCCAGCTGTCACCTGATTTGTATAATCCCATCCTCTCCTCTGATTGCTGCACATAAGATGTGTGTAAAGTATATGTGAGCCAGCATTGTCCCTTATCATATCAGATGGACATTAAAAAATTCTTAAATCCAGTCCAAGGCTAATTTTCCAACTTGACCTGTGTTTTATGCATATTCATCAGTTCTGTAAGTTTTAAGCCAAAAGAGAAAAGTGTTTTCCACTTATCATGTTATCGGTGTTCTATATATGCTGAAAAAGCAAAAAAACTGCATAACTTTTGAAAGTATGGCCCAATCATGCTGATTTTCAAACTTGACCTGCATTTTATGAATATTCATCAGTTCTGTAAGTATCAAGCCAAAAGGTAAAATCGGTTTTCCACTTATTGTTTTATCGGTGGTGAAAGTGCACAGAGACGATGGCAATGACAGCGACAATGGGGACAAAGGCGACGACAGACACAGGTGACGGCTATATGTACAAACACACCTGTGTCTGTACTTAATAACCTAAAAATAAATAAATAAATAAAGCTCTGGACAACATTTGATGTATTTCATTTATAAAAGTCCACTGCTCGTAGAGTGTACATGAGCCTCCTTTCAACATTGATCTTCTTCATTGAAAGCAAAACAGTCATGCCACTCCCATAGAGTGACAAAAAAGCTGCAAATATATCTGTTAAAGGCCATTAAGATTAAGATACCTGCGAAAGTCCATCAATCCCATTGAAAATGTACTAACAATACTGTCCTTTTTAAATAAACAACATTAAAAGTTTTTACGTACACCTGGGCATTTTAGCTCCAAAATTCCATCACTGCATCTGGAGGATATTAGTCAATTTAGACTGGTTTACATTTGCTGAGCAATGTGATTACTTTCCCTGTGTCCAGTATCCTGGTGGCTCCCTTTACCATAAAAGTTTTCATGTAATTATTAAACAGAGCAAAAATGCTTTTTCATTCCTGTAGTTTTATTTAAAAAAAGACAGCCCCCTACCTCTGTGCACTCCAAGAGATTCATACGCCTGCCTTACATTGTTCTCAAAGGCTGGTCGAGAGTGGTGGGTTAGCAATAGCTGTCGATGGGCCTGAGTCACTTTGTTACTCTTCTCATCCAGATTTTCAAAACTGAAAAGAAATAATTTCTCATGAGGTTATTGGAGGCACTAGGCTATTAGATGAATATCACCTATTTTGTATAAGTTGTATCTCATTTCAAAACTATTTACAGTAGAGTAGTTTAATACAGTAAAATCATGCATACAACTGAGAAATAAGTGACTGTTATGTTTTACTGCTGATTTTTGTGCCAGCAGTAAATAATCCAGTCAAAAAAGGAAAGGAGGACAGCAAACAAGAGCAGTTATACAACAGGAATGTGTTTAACCTATTACATCGTGATATCAAGTAATGTGAAAGTAAAGATTTTAAGACCCCATTCCTTAGATCTATCTAGCAGGATCGACCCATCTCCGAGGGGATTTCACTAAATTGCATTCAGAAGGTGGCTTGGATGTCTGGCATGCCTACTGAAGCTGATAAACGATAGTTAATTACCCCCTAACAGATTCAGTAGGCCCTTCATCTGTTGCGTAAGTCATAAAAAAGGGACTACACCATGAATTTTATATATACAGATGAAGGGCAAATTAAATTATATATAAATATATCCTTAATATCATAGTTTTCATTAATAATAATATCATCAATTAAATTTAAGAGAAGGGGAGTCGCGGTAAAAGGGATAAAGGCATAGAAACAATTCCCTGTTCTTTCATATTGTTTTAAAAAAATAAAACATACTTCCCAAAAGAACAATTAAATACAGAGTTTAAGTACAGTGTCCAATAGATGCTGTAGCACCATTTTGGGGAAAAATACCATTTTGATTTTGGGATTTTCTCTATAACAAAGACAGCTATTCAAGTGATTCAAACAGCATCATAAAGCTGGGTGAAAGCATTACAGAAGGATACTAGGGAATTGTCTTAAACTATTTCCTTTTGATTGTATTGTCTTTTACGTTAAATTACCTCATATTTCAATGGGTTATTCACTTCAAAAGACAATATCTTTCAAACAAACAGTTTCCTCCAAAATCCCTGATGTCCATCTGTAGTCCACAGTCTCCACAACACTTAGTGTAATTTTCGTAACAATTGCTTGCAAGATAGGGAGATACACTTGAAACTGATCCACTTATTTCATCAATCTGGAAAGCTGTTGAAATAGCCAAAAATGATCACAGGCTGGTTAACAGAGCTTATTAGTAAATGCTTAGCTGAGAAATTTACCTGTTATCGGTTATATGATCAGATGGAACCATTGCCCATTGTCATCTAGAAATATTTTGTTTGGGTGCTTTGAAATGCCAGAAGATCGTGTTTTTGTAACATTTTCTGATCACGCATTAGATTTGTAAGCATGCTGTCATTTTGATTGACATACCAGTAGAAAAACTCATCAAAAGACAGAAAAACTTTTTAAAATTATTACATCCAATGTTAGATACTTTTTTTATTAATACAAACACACAAAAAAAAATTTAAAAATATGATAGCAAGGCCATTTTTCTTCTACTACATACCTTAAAAATATTACTGCAATTTATGAAGTTCCAATATATAATTTGACCTAGAAAAGTACTTTTATTCAACTAGAGGCTTACTGACACAAACTTTGGGGACTGTACGAACTGCAGATTATGCCTTCTTGTATCAAGCTGAATTCTGAATAATGATGTAGAACGATGGGCCTGCCTATATTTAGCTGTAAAATTTCAATTCAGGAAATAATTTATAATTCAAAAACAAGGCAGCAAAGCTGTCAAACAAAAAAACAGGAAAAAAAGATGCAAAAGAGGTCATTTTGTCAATTTTGATGCAATAATAAATAATGCTTATAATAGCACAGTCAGTCAACACTGATTTTTCATCATGCACAACAGGTAACATGGTCAATAACAGGAGCAGATCCAAAAATATTTTCTGACAGTATTCTAAAGTATCTTTGTTGATCCATCCTCCATTTTGATGGTCTTCCAACAGAAAAAATAGATACCCATCAATATAAACTTTAAAATCTGACTGTCTTCCAGGAGACCCAGAAGATGGTCTCAATCCACCCATTCAATAAGATTACAGTTTCATGACCATGAGAGTTAAAATTCACATGATGAAAGTCCCAATATATGAAAAATGATGACAGCGCATAAAATAATATTACATAGTGTTTAAATACATGAATACCAATACAACTGCTTATGTGGAAATACAGAAAATGTGCAGAGCCTCAGGTGGATGGGAGTTAAAAGTCACATCTTAAAAATGCCAATGTTGGAGAAAAAATTAAAAAGAAAACAACAAAAATATAATCTAATGAAGCTGCTATTCACTGCTTCCTTATTATGGACACTATGTTATCTAGCAGAGAGCTTAACCTTTGGGAGTTTACAGGGAAATACCAACAAGTGTGCTTTTGAAATCTCATTTAATGGCCACTTAATTAGGCAAATGAGTTTATAGCACTAAACTTAGCCTAGTGAATACCCAAGGGGAATTTACAGACTGACCACAGACATTTGTCTATCAAAGGTCTTCAGGCCCATAAGACACGCCTTAAGAAAAGCAGAAAGCAACAATGCACGAAAACGGGAGACTGCCAATTCTGATGCAATAATACATTATGTTTAACTGCACAGTCAACATCAAATTTTAATCATGCACAACAGGTAACACTGATGAAAGTAAAAGCATAAGGCTTCAGGTCCATCAGAGTTCAAGTTTACAATTAGAAAGTGCCAGAATGACAAAAATGAAAATTTCACAAAAAATGCATAAATTTAATAAAAATGATAATCCAATAGAGCTGGTTTTCTAATATGAGCTGTATGTCAATCCTAAGAATCATTCTTGTAAGACTAGTTAAAAAATAGAAAGTAACACTTTACTTTACATAATATTAATGGTGGCAGAGCACAAAGTAGGTTTTTTGTCAATTTTGATGCAACATTACATAATGATTAACTGTATAAATACCACCAATTTAAAAATATATCCTATAAAAAACATGGACATTAAGAAAAATTTGATCACCACTGGGCTACATGCCCAAGGGAGCTCTAAGTCCCACATTGAAAATTGCAACATGTGAAAGATAAAAATTTTCACAAAAAACCTGTTTTACTTCTAAAAAATAAACTAATGAGACAATTTTTCAACTGAAGCTGTATTTCAGTCCTATGTTTCTTTCCTATAAGTGTGAGAAGAGCAAGTGACATGGTTTTCCTTTTACCGCCACTACGGAGGCAGTGCCCAGAATAGGGTTTTGTTCAATTTTGATGCAATATTACACAATGCTTAACAGCATAATAAATTTTTAAATGATAAAATAAAAGTATCATGGATATTCAGAAAATGTGACTAGCCCATGGAGTTCAGAGTTATACTTTGAAAATCCCAAAATGTAAACAAGAGAAAACTGTATTGAAAGAGTTTATTTCCATTTTCAACACCTTTTTTACATAAAACAAAATAATCAATTTACTGTCATTTTTATATGATCAATCAAAAAATATGTTGTCAAAGCAAAACTATCAATAGAACAATTATAAATGTCCAACCTGCTCCATTCTGAGATTCTGAACATAGTGAATGGTTGAATCTGACAAACTGTAAAGATATGAGTTTTTTTTCCATTTTTGACACTTATTACACAATACACAATATCAGGTTTACCATCATTTTTATGTTATCAACTAATAAGGTTGTTAAGATGCAGAAAATGTCAAAAGAACAACTTAACATATCTAATTAGTTCAAAAATGAGACTGTTAACATGCCTGAAAATTAAATTTGAGGAAAAAACACTTATGTACAAAAAAAGGCATTACTTCACCAAACTTTAACTGATCAAGCTTATTTTCAAAACTCAATCTGTATTTCAGTAACACTGATCACTACTGTGGATTTCAAGACAATTGGCCAATTGATTTTCCTTAAAATGTGTTATAGGTGTTGCATATATGCTGAAAAAAAGTGAAAAAACAGCAAAACTTTTATAAAAATGCCCTGATTATGCCAATTTTCGAACTTGACTTGCGTATTATAGATATTCATCAGTTCTGTAAGTTTCAAGTCAAAAGGTAAAATGGTTTTCCACTTATCGTGTTATCGGTGCTGCATATATGCTGAAAAAAGTGATAAAACAGCATAAATTCCATATAAATGGTCCAATCATGCCGATTTTCTAACTTGACCTGCGTATTATGAATATTCATCAGTTCTGCAAGTTTCAAGCCAAAAGGTAAAACTGTTTTCCACTTATTGTGTTATCGGTGCTACATAAATGCTGAAAAAAGTGAAAAAAACAGCATAACTTCCCTAAAAATTACTAGTTACTAGTACAGGGATTTTTTGTCACATACTAGTATGCACATACACAAACACGCGTATAATATTCTACAAATCATTATCGTACATAGTAGTTAGGAAGCCTTGTATATATGAGTAAAAACATTACCCCTTCTTTCTGTCTTTTAGCTTGCTGGAAATGTATTTATCTGTGTAGTATCCGTAGTAAAACGTGAGACTAGTGACCCAGATTATGCATTGGGTGAAATTAGGTCAGTTTGCTTCATGCATATGCAGATTACATCCTATGATTGGACAATGCGTCCTAAGCACCACCATGTTTTACCCTACACACTATACTTAGTGTGGGTGTTTGAAACTGAACAAAATGCCGTTTTCTTGTGCAGCTTTCCTGGAAGGAACTCTGTGGATTCAGGTGGCAAAATACTCTATTATCTTAGTTCTGAAGAGACCTTCCAGCCACCTGATGTGGGAGTTAAACAACACCTCTCAGGCTTCAGATTACAGCCTAGTGTGTCTGTACATAAAAAAAGCTTTCACGTTTTACCTTATTCGAAGTTAGATTACAAGTGAGCACATCAATGACAGTATCTGATGTCAGCAAAGTTTTATTCTCTGTTGACATTTTTAAAAGTTCACAGGGAATCTCTGGGGAATGATGAGAATATACTGGTATAATTTTTTAAATACAGGTATTATGCATGTGGCAAACAACTACTCCTATATCAGGTTCAAGGCCACAGTCTCCTGATTAACTGGGCTACACAGCGCCAAGTTCAGAGACAAAGTAGTTGACACCCAGACGCCAAACACATGATAGCTGTTCATTTGGGCATGTTCAATACACCTTGCCATAAAAACAAGTTTAATGCATGTTTGTGTTTGGAACAATACCATTTTATTATAAAGTTTAATAAGTTCCTTGGCAGTTTTGTCCCAGAATTGTGACAAGCACAGGATATCAGTGCTTATTGTGAGGAACATTAAATAATTTTGATTTTTTAACAAATAATTTTTGATTACCATGCTCTATTCACTGCTCTTATATCTGACATAGACATAACAGATAGTGGGTACTATTAATTTCACAAAAAAGTCTTTCCAATTGTCATTATTTTGTTTTTAGGTATACTAAGCAGCAAAGCAAGCACGCAAAATCATGGATGGTAGTAAGACCTCAAGCTGTTACATATACAAATAGCACCAATAAAGGTACATTCTAGTCTTACAAACCCAGGAATTTGACATGGGAATTACAAGTACACATATCTTAGCAGCTATGGTGCAGGTGGAACCATAAGACTCAGGGCACCTTGGACCAAATTCTGGCACTCCCAATGACATCGTAGTCCATAAAATAGAAAGTCCAGACTCTTGGAGTGAACTAATTACCTGCATCATCCTTAACAATGAACAGTTGTTGCTTTGAAAAAGGATGTCATTATAGTAAGAACTGTGATATATATGCATAAGAATTTTATTTTTATCAAAGAGATGATAACTCCATGATCATATACACGGATATCAACCGCTGTTTATTTTTGATAAATCCATCCAGATATACATTTTATTTCCTTGTGGGATCTCAACTTTCAAAATTATTGATTTTAGTTGGAAATATGACCAGATTACATACATATATTTTTCTTTTGGTATAAGGAACTGATAAATGAAAGCACCTTATTTTTCCATACCTTTATTTTCTACATTTACTGAATTGTTGCACAGATTACAGTAGAATGAAAAGAATCTTTTAACTCAACGACTTGCATAAAACAGGTCTTATTAACTCAAGCTTTGTTAAAATAAGAATGGAAAACTGATGATTAAATCCTACTTGGAATGCATGTTATAGAACAACTAATCAACCCATTTAATAAGTCTTGAAAGATACCTTAAAAAACATAATTATGCATGTTCTAAATTACAAGTAATAAACAACTTTTTTTTCTACTAGATTTTAATATTGGAAAGTGAATATCCACAAGGAATTTGAAAGTCATATAAAATAAACTATAAAAAGAATGTTTGGTCTGTAAACAGATACTCAAGGTAATAGTTTTTCTGTGATTTTCTTCAGAGAGAAGTAATCAAGCAGATTTACCAGCAGTCAAAATGTAGGGGACATTATAGTGAGTGGGAGATTGCACATTCCCATCTCCACTGTGCTGGGTAATTCCTTGTAAAATTTTCTGGCAGAAGCATCCATATATCCAGTGCAGGGGCAGGATTTCTGTCAACACCATCATGCATGCCCTTGCAATGAAAAAAATGTTCACTTTTATGTCTGTCATTTCTGTATTGATATGTGCAATAGCTTACTGCAAAAATAAAATATCTGAAAATGTATAAACATTAAAATAACCATGAGGACTAGATTACACAACACCAAATTAATATGGAATAAATGCATTCTGAAATAAAAAGGAATATGAATGGTGTTTGTGTGCAGCCAGAAACTTATGATTTGTCTGTTCAACATAGATTTAATGCTTTTTTATACCCCAAGTTCTCTTCTCTGAGATACTGAATTCTCTCTTCATGTTCTTGGGTCAATCTTCCTGATCTCCCACCTCTTCCAAGCCTTGTACCACTGGGCCTAGAAGAGTGATTTACATACTAATTGTTGTGCAATATTAAGAGGTGATATGCATCTGTTTCAGGCATAACTATAGGCCTCTACAGGACAGAAACAAATTAGATAATAACATATTGACTAACTATGATTACACAATTTGGAATTGGTGCAGGATTCCACAATTAATCTAAGGAGTAAAAAAATCACTGAACTCTTAGTTATTTGTATATGTGGATTATATGTGAGTTTAGAGGGTGAGGATTAGATAGGTCCTACACATTATGGTAAAAACTAAGGAATGTGCCAGATTACTGAGGGACGACCTCACAATTAAAAATTACAGGAAACTTTTTACTTCAGGGAGCTCTTTACCATCTAGTTCTTGACTGCTCTGACTGCCTGCCTCATCACTAATACTCTCAATCTGAAAGGTATAAAAACAGATCAACTAGAAAATTAATCAAGATAAGATACATGTGTGCGTAGCACAAAGTTCATGCACTCCGATTGACGATTTTTACATCTGCACGATGCTAACCAGTACTGCCAATAAGTATCAAAATCATCAATAGAAGTGCTAGAACGCATAGAAAGCAGACGAGCAAACAGTGAAATAGTAACAGTCGTTCATAATTATCCAACCAAAACGGGCTGATTCAACTAACAAATATTACTGTCTGTAATTATGTCACCAATATATAAAACTAGGCCAAATTACTCATTCCGTGAATCGGCATTGAGAATTACGGTTTCAAGCACTGTTGACACGTACACTCAGTCGTAAATAATTCCAAGACATTAGCTGATTTTCCAGACTTTTTTAACCGACAAGAAGTTAAAGGTACATACAAACCGAGCATCGGTGGAGCGTGGATTCCCAGTAACCACTTCTACTAGATTCTTTGTGACTCAAATAAATTCGATATGCCAAGGGATAAACTGAATAGATCACTCGATCAGCCATAAAAGACCTTTAGCAGTGATACAGAAACTTTATGTGAAAAGAGAGACATGTGTCTCCTGTTTCGTAAAAATATGAGACACAAGGTTCAAAACAAGGGACACATCATAAACACCATTTTTTATTTCCATAAAACAAGTTTTATTCTTTAAAAAAAACAAGGCAGCAAAGCTGTCAAATGTACAGACAAAGAACAGAGAATAAAGATGCAAATAAGTGAAAAATTAAATTTTCACAAAAAACTGTTAAATTGCCAGAAAAATTTACCAAACAGACTGCGTTGCCTATTGAAGCTGTATGTTAGACCCATGTTTCTTTCCTGTAAGTTTGAGAACAGTAAGTGACATGATTTCCCTTAAATGGTCATCATAGGAGCAGTGCCCAAAATAGGGGTTTCTTCAAATTTTGATGCAACATTACATAATGTTTAACAGCATAATGACAATCAAATGTTATTAATAAAATATTAGTAACATGGACATTCAGAAAATGTGACAAGCAAAAGTCTTCAAGATCATGGAACTTTAAAGTCACACCTTGAAAATGCCAATATGTGAAAAATTAAATTTTCACAAAAAACTGTT